AGGTTACAGAGTGGCACGACCCACCCCAGAAAACCCCCACCTGCTAGGCTACAGGGCAAAGCGACCCACCCCGGCTCTGGCCAGCGTCGACTAAGTATCAGTTCACAAACAGACACTAGAGTGCCTTCCACCCTCGACAACTCCCCAGATCTCTCACCTGATTTCCTGTTTTTGATTTTTTTTTAACCATTAGTACCTTTGTCGGTTCGGAAAATAGCGGACCTCCGACCTTTCAGGAGGCTAAAACGAAATGGCGGCGGCCAATTAGATTTATCAACGGCAGCCGTCGTCGGGCCCGGCCTCCGAATTCTTCGGGGACTGGCGTTTTCCCTCATTTCTGAAGTGGCAAAGGTACTAGTGGTTTTAAGGGAAAAACGGCAGCATCCTTGAGGTATCATAGTCGAGCTAACCAGCATCAGGTAATTCAGGAATTTCATTCCGCTTGTTTTGATGTGGATTCGAACTCGGATCTGAATTTCAACAGTTCACGGGTGTACCAATTGACCTAGGCCCGTTGCGGTACTCATACCCAATTTTCCCTCTGACCGCACCACAATGTCAAAGTGGCATTCATCTCTGGGCTTGTCTGCTGCTTACCGCAAGGGCAAGGCTGTCCACTCTTCCTTACCTTCTCTTTCTTGAACTCATGCTTGATGCCCCCCAGAATAGACGTGGCCTGGGAAAAATAGGAGGGCAGCGTATCATGCAACTTCGCTAACATTGGCGCCATGGCACGGGAGATGGGGGCGCTGCGAATGCGGGCGTGGCTGCTGGTATGAGTGTGCGCTTCCGGGGGGACGCGTGGACGCTGCTGGTGGGTGCGTTGGCGAGGCGTGAGGGCGTGCGCAGCAGCTGGCAGAGCGGGTGGGCGCGCATGGTGGGGCAAGCGTGTGCTGTTGGCAGCGTGGGCGGAGGCTTCTAGCAAAGTCTGCAGATGCTGCAGGTGGTCGGGCGAGCGCTACTGGGCATGCATGTGGGCGCTGCTGGCTGGTGAGCGGACATGGCAGTCACTTGCTGACTGGCCATGCCGCCACATAAGTGTTGACTTGGCGTCATCATCTTCTGAAGCTGGGGCGGGTGTTGGCTAGTTGCGAAGATTTCTTTGGGGGGATTACATGGCAAGAACGTGGAATAATAACGTCACTTGATACCTCCTGTCCTTTGAAAGCACATTGTGCCATCTCGCTGCTTCGCGCTCCATTCGGGGGATGCTACAGGCTACCATGTCGAATGGAGGGGAGCTTGCTTTCTTTTGAAAACAAAGCTCCTTGACGAATCACTCTCGTTCTTTTACTTGTGGGTTACAGTCGAGGGAGGTCGACTTGCCGCAAGGGGAGAAGAGAAGAGTGTTATCACGGGGAGTGGGAGGAGGATCAACAGAAGATATTGAGTGCGGACTCTTCGAGCGTTGCAACAGTCTCTGCAAGAGGAAGCTGCTTCGACTTGGGGACTTTCTTCTTCGGCTCGCCAGCGTGGTCTTCTCCTTTTGATCATTGGTGATGGTCAACAGGGCTCATCTTCATCTTCATCAGCATTTTCCTTGTCATCATAAACATTGTTAGTGACAACCCTACTTATCATCATCATCTTCATCATCATCATCATCATCATCATCATCATCATCATCATCATCATATGGCGCGTGAGATTGGAAGGATTGGGGGGATAATTGATTCACCACGTTCCGTCCTTTCTTTCTTCTCTTTTCATTTAGTCTTCTACCTATCTCACTCTCCTCTTCCTTTCTCTTGTGCTGAGTCTTTTTCTCTGCTCTGGCCTGTTTGCTGCTTCGATGTTGGGGGTTCTGCTGCTGCTTCGTTTTTAAGAGTTCTGAGCGCTGTTTCACCGTTCTGGGTGCTCTGCTGTTGCATACTGGTGAATACAAAAATGGACAGAACCAAAGATCAACCAATATAGGATGAGCATGTATACAGCGGAAGTCTGAGAAATGGACTGACTCGCATAGACTGAACTCACCCAATCCTCACTCAACACACAAGCAATCGTGAGATGGTGGGTTCTGAAGCCATTCATAGATGATGCTTCAGGCCCCGTACAATCATACACAGATGAATGGTGGGAGGAGAGACGATGGAGGTGGGAGATAGGCGGCAGCGCCAGATGTCACCGAGATAGAATCCAAAAGGTCACCGATATGGTAGCTCAAAATGTCATCGAACAAAATCAGAATGTCGGGGACATAAGTCACCAATGTCGGACGTACAGAATCCTAATGTAACCGGTCCGATCTGTGATGCCGCCAGGTATCAATCCCAACCATATCCAATGTCTCGAATCCGGTAAGTATCACATCCTCCGACCACCGAAGTCCAATCACTGATCTCTGTCCAACTCGTATCAATAGTCTCCAGTCTGAAGAAGAAGAAGAAGAGGGAGTCTGAAGAAGAGGAAGAGGAAGAAGTCAAAAGAAGAAGAAGAAGAAGAAGAAGAAGAAGAAGAAGAAGAAGACTGAGAGGGGAGGCAGAGAGTCGGGGGAGATGGCGAGTAGCCTCAGGCCTAACCTGCGTCTGCAAGATGGCGCCTTGGCAGATGCGGGAGCTTGGCCGCGCCGCTGGGAGCTATGGCGCTCGCGGTACTCCAGGTAAGTCTCCCTCCTCCCGTCCCTCTGCTCCAGTGCGCTAAACTTAGCGCTGCAGCTCCAACCGCTCCGCTGAACCAAGAATAGCGCAGCTTGGTGCCTCCTGCCGTACTGCCTCTCCAACCTGCTGGAATGGCTGCTGGACCGGCCTAAGTACCGTTCGGCGGCCGATCG